GGAGGAATCCCTGATTAAGCATTTGTTTGGCAATAATTTCATTAGGACTCCACATAATAACACTCATTTGTGTAAGAATATCACGTCCCCAGAGGTTAACAGGCAATCCCGGGATTACAAAGGGAGTTACAGTGCCAGAGTTGCCTTCCTCGTCAGTCCAGGTTAGTGTTTGGGGACTGACCTGAGGGTTGGAGGACTGGCCAATTCCCTGTAAGTGGGTGTAGGAGGCTGTTAAGGGCCAGGCTGAAGGCCAGTCCTTTTTGGAGATTACTGTGGCATCAGCCCCAGAATCCAAGATTCCTAAGAAGGGCTTGCCATTTAGAAAAAGCTTAAGGGAGGGGCGATCATGGGAAATTTGTTGGACCCAATATGCATCAGAGGACCCAGGAGGGCCATCCTTTAAATCCTTTTTAAAGAAATTATTATTAACATGTTTAAGGGGGAGCAGATTGAGCTGTGCCAGGCAATCTCCGGGGGTAATGGTCTGTATGCTGGCCTGGGTGGAGGCAAGTATTTTAAGCTCGCCTGTAAAATCATTATCTATAACCCCGGGGGCCACGTGAAGTCCCCTAAGTGTGGAGCTAGCTCTTCCCAATATTAAGCCAAACATATGAGAAGGCAAAGGGCCATGGACTTCTGTAGCTAGGATCTGAGGGCCTGTCTTGGGTGTTAGTACTGAGTAGGTGGAGGCACAGAGGTCCAATCCTGTGCTGCCTGCTGTGGCACGCCAGAGGTCTGAAACGGATTGGTGGGCGTAGGATGGGGGTTGGGGGTTGCTGTAGGGAGAGTCTGAGCAGCTGGGGGGACAAACTGAATAGCCCCTGGGCCTATCCTCTGAGTAGGGGCCTGGGGCTGGCCCCACTGGAAGTTTCCCGACTGTTTAGGGGGTAAAGGTTGTCCTTGTATATTTATTTTAGACTTGCATTCAGAGGCCCAGTGTTTGCCTCTGAAGCAGTGCAGGCACAAAGAGGAGGGAGAAGGACTCAGAAGCAGATGCACGAGGAGGAGTACACTCTCTGAAAAAATGGCCAGGTTTGTTATAATTAAAACAAGTTTTGGAGGCTAGCCAATACTTACGCCTCTGAGGGCAGCTCCTATAGCGATCCCCATAGCATGAGAGGCAGATCAATTCCCATAACATGACAGGCAGAATTAATACCAGCACAGAGCTTAATGTAGTCTGAAAGGGAGCCACACTTGTGAGGGCGCAAAGCCTCTTGACAGGCAGGGGTGGCGTTTTCAAAGGCCAGATGTTTAATAAAAGGACTATCAGCCTCACCATCTCCAAAAAGCCTTTCGGCTGTTTCATTTAATCGGGCAATAAAGTCACTGTATGGTTCATCTGGTCCTTACCTGATCTTTGTCAAAGAGGTAGTAGCAGATCCCTTAGGAGGCAGGTGCTTCCATGCTCCAAGGCCTGTTGGACCTGAGTTAATAAGCCAGGAGGAAAGCAGCCTTGGACCTCATTAGTGTTATGAGGGCTGTCTCCCATAAGTTTTTTAAAGGACCAGGTTTTTGGAGATAATTTTTTTTCATTACAGCGGGCCAATTCCCTGCAATTTTCTATATACTCAGTTCTCCATTGAACATAGCCACCACCCGTGAGCACGCCCCACGCCAGCCTATTCCACTTATTTGGGGTAAGCCACTTATCAGTATAACTCTCCAAGAGTGTTAGAGTAAACCCATTATTGGTGTAGCTCTCTGTCTGACTCCCATTATGGGCCAGTCTTTGTCCTCTTTGTCGTGTTCTCCCTTAGAATGCATGCTGACTAACTTCTCTGATTTCAGGAAAGGAGGACGCGAGATGGGCTTTAAGCCTAAAGCCCCTAGACTTACACACCCTCTGTAAGCAAGACTAGATGCAAATCCCAGGCCTCCTCGACTGGCCATCTGAGGGCTCTTTTAACCTTAACCTTGCCTATGCTGTCCGCAGGAATTCCTATGATCATCACCCAGACCAGATACCCTATATTGTCACCTGGGTCAACCTCCTGGAAAACCCGCCCACCTGGCTCACCAAATGTCAGCCTAAGACGAAGTCTCCCTTGGGTTCTACCCCCGGCTCTAAGCCAGTCCTTCCAACAGCTAGATCCCCTCAGTGGATTTAGCCTGTTCCTAAAGAAGACCCTGTCAGACCACCTCCCTATGCCCTTCCTCTGAGAGACCCTGACTATATATAATTCGAAAAGCCAAAACCCTTCCTTTTCTGAAAATTCCCAAGGCCTTATAGGCCTCCTCAGCTCAATCTTTACCATTCATTTACCCACCTGGGAAGACTGTTATCAGCTTTTGCGGATCTCCTAGACTTCTCCCTCCAGCCCCTGTCCCTGCACTGTTCTTTCCCTTTTTTTAAAAAAAAAAAATTATTTTTATTTTATTTATTTTTTATTTTTATTTTATGTGTATGAGTGTATTGCCTACATGCATGTGAGTGCATCCATGTTGCACAATGCCATGGAGGTCAGAAGAGGGCTTCGGAGTCCCCTGGAACTGGAGTTAAGGACGGTTCGTAGCCGCCATGTGGGTGCTAGGAATTGAACCCAGGTCCTCTGCAAGAGCAGTCAGTGCTCTTAACCGCTGAGCCATCTCTCCAGCCCCTCCACCCCCGTTCCTTCCTTGAGGGAAGTGGTGGCACCCCAGGTCCCGGACAGCCCCGTCTGTCCTGATATATATATCCTTTTCCACCACTGACTATATATAATTGGAAAAGCCAAAACCCTTCCTTTTCTGAAAACTCCCAAGGCCTTATAGGCCTCCTCAGTTCAATCTTTACCATTCATTTACCCACCTGGGAAGACTGTTATCAGCTTTTGCAGATCCTGTTGACTTCGGAGGAACTCTGAGAGGCAGCCTGCTCCCAATTGGAACCCCAACACCAATCAAGGTAGGGAGCACTTGCTTCAGTATCGCCAGACTCTGCTGCAGGGATTATGGGTGGCAGCTAGAAAACCCACCAACCTCACCAAGGTGAGTGATACTCTTCAAGAGCCAGATGAGTCACCTGCCACCTTTTGGAAAGGCTTTATAATGCCTATCGCCTCTACTCTCCTATCGATCCAGAGGCACCTGAGAACTGAAAAACCATTAATATGGCTTTCATTTCTTAGTCAGCCCCAGACATATGGAGAAAGCTCCAAAAGTTACAAGTGTTTGAGGGAAAGCTGATCTCTGAAATGGCAGAAACTGCCCAGAAGGTCTACCATGGCTGAGATAGCCCTGCAAAGGAACAAGGAAAAGAAATTAGAAAGATTTCAGTGGCAGCCTGGGGAAAGCCACCAGCCTCAACCCCAATGAGGTGATAACAGGCAGCCTAAAGGCACAGGCAAGAGACTTAAATTGGAAAAGAACCAATGTGCCTACTGTAAAGAAAAGGGCCACTGGAAAAATGAATGTCCTCTAAAACAGAAGAAACCAGCTTCTGTCTTGCCTGCCACTGAACAATGACGGAGCCAAGGCTTCTCCCTGAATCACCTGGAGCCTATGGTGACCCTTAAAGTAGAAGGGAAGTATACCAAATTCCAGGTAGTTACTTACTCAGTTTTAAAGAAACCTGCTGGACCCATGATCAAGGACAAGGTCTATATCCAGGGAGGACCCAAGGGTATCCTCAAACTTGGGCAAGAATTATGGTTTTGGCACAAGGAACTGTAACTCATTCATTCCTTCTTTGCCCCGGCCAGCAGGGCGGGAGATGGAGACTCGAACTCCCAGGGACCTGGAATGATGGGACAAGAGACACGAAGAATGACAGTAAGACAAAGAACTCTGATCAAGCTGCCAAAGTTTATTTTTTCACAGGGATTCTTATAGGGGTCAAAGCAGGAAGTTAGCTGGGGAAGAGGGAGGGAAGGTGTTGTCTCAACGGGGTAAATGAATGTCCCTTAGGATGAGGGGACATGGTCTGGGTGCAGGCTAAGGAAATTGGTAGTTGTTCAAACTTATCTTAACTCATCGGAAGTGTTGCTTATCTTAGGGGGCAGGGAGGACTGATCAGCAAGTTCTCCAGAGGATGTTTGCCCTGGGGGGCAGGGAGGGCTGCCAGGCAGCGTGGTCTCCGACATCTCCCCCTACCAACATTCAGGGGCAGGGGAAGTGAGTTAACACATTTCCTTCCGGCTTTTTATGCCATCTAAGCTTTATTTATCTTGAGAGTTTTTTTAAAAAAAACTTTATTGTTTTCTAGTTTTCAGTATTTCTGCTTTTGTTCAGTGATGATTTCACTCATCTTTAACTAAATGCCAAGTATGTTTTCCCCATTTAAGATATTATGAAGCTAATAGTTCATGTGAATATTCTGAGTTGCTGTAATTAAGAGGAATTTATTTTAAAATTAATAGAATGTTAAAATATACTCTATTGTTAGCAAGCAGTGAAGGCCTTATGTTAACAGAAAAAGATTTTTTCAATGCATATTTTAATTGATTTTTGTGCATTTCATATAATACATCTTAATCATATTTAGACTCCTCCCTTGTTTAAACCCCCTGCCCCACATAGCCTGCCCACCGGATTTCATGCATTCTGTCATATATGTTAAGGCTTACTGAGTGAAATTTGTGTACCGAGATGTCCCTCGGTGTGAGTTTATTCACTGAAGCCTGTTTATCACTCCATTGAAGAAGAGCAACTCTCCCTCACGTAGCAGTGATCAGCTGCTAATAGCTTCTTGGCTAAAGCAGAGGCCTCCTGCCCATCTCCCCAGTTCTATGCTGGGTTTTGTCTGATTGATTTGCATGGGTCTTGTGCATGCTGCTACCATTGATATAAATAAGCTCATATGAGCAAATCCTCAAAAGCCTGAAAAAACCCTGTTTCCTTATGGTCATGCACTTACATAAATAAGTAAATATAGCAAAATCTGATGTCCACAGACTACTATGAGTTTGAAATAAAATGCTCTATATAAAATGATGCGATTGAAATGTTGAACTGAAGGAACTGGAGACATGGCTCAGTGGTTAAGAGCACTGGTTGCTCTTGTGGAGGACCAGGGTTCAGTTCCCAGCACCCACGTGGCAGCTAACAATCACTCTTAACTCCAGTTCCAGGGGACCTGACACCTTCTTCTCACCTCCAAAGGCATTGCATGACATGGGTGCACTTACATACATGCAGGCAATGCACTCACACGCATAAAATAAAAACAGTAAAATATTAAAATATTGAGCTGAATTAAATTACAATTTGTTCAACATTACTCAGTAAATTTCTCTGTAGAGTTTCAGCGTGACTGAAAGAAGAGGTCTAGATGACCTCCAGCATCCACCATGCATGCTTCACCTTGTGGTCAAGAAGAGAAGACAGTTGCAGAGATCATGAGCTTCCCCCAGGCCCTGCCCCCAATGCAGAGGCATCATTAGATTTCCGTTCCTTTGTTCTCTTTTATGTCTGGAAAACTATACCTAACTTTGAGCACGCTCAGTCAACTATGGATTGAAAATGATCACAGTGCCAGCTACCTACAGTAGAAAAAGTGCTGCTTCACCAGAAACAGTATTTTCAATCGGTGCTACTGACTGAACATTTTCTGTAAGCAAAAACACCTCTGCCAAAAATAGAAGCACCAATAAGTATAAACTGGAGTGTGCTGAAAGTCCAAACCGGAAACCAATGCACAGACAAAGGAGCTCAGGTCGACGTTGATGTAGGCTGGAACTTTTGACATAGCCGTAGGTTCTGCTCAAGCGCATTACAATGCAGAAAAGCCTCAATTACCAGCACACTGCCATAGTTTTATGATTTGCAACTAAACACAAAGTGATTTATAATAATATATACTTCTGCCATTGTGTAAATAGAGACTGATGCACGTTTCTCTGGCTTGTCTAAGGAGTAATAGTAACAACATCTATTACTCATACCCACACACTCATAAGGAAGTTAGAAACATCAACACCTGAAAGATTCCTGGGTTTTCTTTATTCTTCTATACCTGTTTCCGCAATGAGTAGATTGTCATTTTTTAAAACGGAATTAAAATGTCTTCAATAAGTAAGATTTATAAGGGTTGTTCCAACCTTGCCACAAATATTTCAGAAAACACAAAGTATATCAAAATTCATACAACATTGAAAACTGACACTGAAAGGAGGTCACGAAGACAGCAACCTACAGGGACAGCGCAAACCACAAAACTAATCGACCAGGACTAAGCAAAGAGATGGGAAATACACACGTGCAGCACAGAAATGTGGTAGCCTTGTTGCCCTAAAGAAATGTTTTAAAAATGGAGAGAAAAATAGTAACATTAGTCTGTTTATCCTGTCTTTCATAGAACCCGAGAAAATACAGATCATCCTTTCCTTAGGTTACTGGAATTTCTAAGTATCCAGAGTCTTAATTCTGTGCTTCATGTTTGTCTCTTCATGTTTCTCAAGACTTGGGAAAACTCGGGTGATAGACATAGAAAACAGAGCTTACAGGGACATGGAAAGGAAGCGAGAAGTGAGGAAACGGGAGTGTGCTTTGTCCTTGTGGGTAAACTCTGGGAGGAGGACACCGGAGCCACCCTGATGACTGCAGCATTGCTGCAACTTGAAACCACTGTTTTAAAACACATTGACATCTGTGAACACAATTATCTTATTTTGAACTGTCAAGGTTTTTTCTGGTTCCAGATAAGTAAAATGAAACCTGGACAGGAAGACCTCCCTAGGACCCGTGAAAATACTTACTATGACAGGAACTAAGAAGTATCAGCCGCATTACTCTGACAGGGGTGGGGAGGTGACTCAGTGGGCAAAGCGCTGACCACACAAGTGGAAGAGTCTACATTCTGACCCCCAGAATCCACATAAAGCCTGATGTGCTAGTGTACATCTGAAATCCTAGTGTTCCTACACTGAGATGGGAGGCAGAGACAGAAAATCCCTGGAAGCTGGCAGGCCAGCTAGCCTACTGTATGGAGAAATGGACAACAAAGAGATTGTGCTAGAAAGCTTTAGTTGTCAACTTGACATCCCTGGGTAAAGGGAGCCTCACTTGGGGAATTTCCTCCATTGGACTGGCCTCTGGCAGTATCTGTAGGGCATTTTCTCGATTGTTGAATGATGTGGGAGTGTCTAGGCCACTGTGGGCGGTGCCACACCTGGGCAGGTGGTCCAGTATTGTATAAGAAATCGGGTTGAGCACCGACTAGGGGAGCAAGGCAGCAAGCAGTGTTCCTCCATGGCCTATGTTTCATTCAGCTCCTGTGTCTAGGTTCCTGCCCTGAATTCTTACCTTGGGCTCTCTCAGTGATGAACTGTGACCTGGGAGAGTCACCAAAACCCTTTCCTCCCACATTGGTATTGGTCAGAGTGTTTTGTTACAGCAATTGCAAGCAAACTAGAACGAAGATCGTGTGTCAAACAAGGTAGACGACGGGGGCTGATGCCAAAAGATTTCTCAGAGTGACCAGAAGGCATGTTTACAAGGTCCTTGTATGTTAAGTAAAGCTCTGGAAGAACTGAAGAGAATATTGATTTAAAAAAAAAAAAGCCTTGAGCTGAGGTGAAGTAACAATAAGATAAGAGATTGCATAGCAATTAAAATTTCAAAAATGCAATACAAATCCACATACGAAGTTAACTTCAGAAGTGGTACTTCGAAAAAGAAAATTTGAAAGTCTAATAATTTAATTCTAAATAGGCAAACTTAGAGCCATTAATATCCACTTCTAATCGAAACAGCCAGAGGAATACAAAATCAAGAAAACCATTTTTATATACTACACAAAAGAGAAAGGAAGGGAGGAAAGAAATGCAAGACAGGGAGGAGGAAGAGAAGGAAGGAAGGAAGCTTACTGGGTCAGTGTGGGTTCATATCAACTTTCAACTTTCCCTATGGGAGGGAGGGAAGGAAGGAGGGAGGGAGGGAGGGACGGAAAGAAGGAAGGAAGGAAGGAAGGAAGGAAGGAAGGAGGGAGTCAATGTAGAAAAAAATAACTACAGAAAATGTAGGAATATGGGCAACTCAGTGCCAGAGCATTTGCTTGTCTAGACTGTGTGAGCCCCTGAGTTTGACTCCTTGGCCTCAAGTGGAAGGAAAGGAGGAGGAAGGAAGAAAGGGAGGGAGGGAGGGAGGGAGGGAGGAGGGAAGGAGGGAGTAGGGAGGGAAGGAAGGGGAAGGGAAGGGAAGGAAGGGAGAGGGATGGATGGGAAAGTTATGAGATATTAAATGGACAGAAAGAATTTACTAATGGAGAAAATAGAATCTAGCTAAAGGAAACGTTTCCTACACCAAGAAGTCCAAAATTTGATGCAGGGACCCATAAGAAATCTATGGTTTTCCCACCATAACTTAAGAAAAGCCCTGAGCACAGGGAGGAGGCTCTGCTTTGGCTCACAACTTTACTGAGAAGGTTAGAGAAACAAGAGAGTCTGTCAGTTATTTCCTGGCTACCACGCCACAAGACAGTTCCTAAGAAGTCCTGGACTGAACACTGCACTGGAAAAAAAGAGAAAAGCAGCCTCTGAACATCCCTCATTGTGTGTGAGGAAGCAGCATGGACGCATTCTGACATCAAATGAAACAAAAAGCTGTGATCATAGAAGTCTATCACCAGATGAAATGTAAGTGTGCACTCTACGTTTAAAGGAGTAACTGATAGATAATAGATGACAGATCTAAAAACATAGGTAATCTGTTTTCATGCCAACACATTTATTCAAGCCAACCAAGAAATTAATAGTATTTAATAGTTTGAGGAGGGAAATCCTAATAGCAAATGACTGTGAGTGCAGAAAAAGTAGGTAAATTTTAATAAATGAAATTAAAGGAACTGAATTATAAAATTAAATGCAAACATACAACTAATTCTTTAGGTAGAAAGTGGCAATATTTAAGCAACTATTTAATTACGATATAAAGAA